TGGAAAAACTGCATAAGTATGGAAAACACATTACCTGGTGGTACTGCAGTTGATACTGTTGCTATTACGGAAATAAATAAAAAAGTATATAAACAAACACATATTAAACAGTTATGTAATTGCATACAAACACGAAAAAAGTATTGTTTAAGTTCCAATACACATAACACTCATAAAACTGCATAAGTATGCAAAACATATTACCTGATGGTACTGCAGATGATATTGATGCTATTGTGAAAGTAAAAAAAAAAAGTGTATAAAGTAACATATGTTATACATTTATGTAATTGATAACAAACATGAAAAAAGTAATGTTTAAGTTTTATTACACATAAAACCCATAAAACTGCATAAGTATGCTAAACAGATTACCTGATATTATTGCTTGAGGTGTTAATGTAGAGACAAAAAAAAATAAAGTGATGTGCAAAATAAGATATGCAATTTTTAAGTTTTAATACACATAACACTCATAAAACTGCATAAGTATGCAAAACATAATACCTGATGGTACTGCAGATGATATTGATGTTATTGTAAAGGTAAAAAAAAAAATGTATAAAGTAACATATGTTGTACATTTATGTAATTGATAACAAACATGAAAAAAGTAATGTTTAAGTTTTAATACACATAACACTCATAAAACTGCATAAGTATGCAAAACACATTACCTGATGGCACTGCAGATGATATTGATGCTATTGTAAAAGTAAAAAAAAAAGTGTATAAAGTAACATGTGTTAAACATTTATGTAATTGCATGAAAACATGAAAAAAAAAAAAATTTAAGTTTTAATACACATAAAACCCATAAAACTGCATAAGTATGCTAAACAGATTACCTGATATTATTGCTTGAGGTGTTAATGTAGAGACAAAAAAAAAAAAAATAAAGTAATCTGTAAATTAAGATATGCTATCTTTAAGTTTTAACACACATAACACTCTTAAAACTGCATAAGAATGCAAAACACATTACCAGATGGTACTGCAGATGACGCTATAGTGGATGTAAAAAATATATTTACATAAACTAACATATACTAATCAATTAAACAGTTTATTTTAAGTGATAAAACCGCACATAAACATCAAAAAAAGTGTAATAAAATTAAACAAAATGAAACATAAGTGAACTTTGCTTACCAATTGAATTTTCTAATTTTTCTAAATAGAATAAAAAAAAACTCATTAACATTAAGAAAGAAACTAACATGCAGAATATTATAATATACATATAATATACGAAGCAAAACAAACCAAAAAAAAAAAAAAGAAAAAAGTTCCAAAAAAAAAAGAAAAAATTAAAATAAATAAGAACATTATAGTAATTTACTTAGCTGTTGAAGTATAAGCCCTATAAAAAAAATGCTAAAAATTGTATCAAAAAAGCTAAAAGACCAAAGAGTAGACCTTTTTTTTTTTGAAAGTAAAATGCTATATCTTTATCTATAATACACAAATGAAATATAATCAAATTCTGTTTACCCATTGAATGTTCTACTTTTTCTAAATAAAATGAAAAACTTATAAACATTAAAATAAACTAACTTGCCATATATAGAATAACTTTATGTTAAATAAATATGTAATAAAAAAAATAAAAAGCATGACAACAACAATAACAAATTGCTTACATAGATTCTCAACTGAATCTTCTAATTTTTCTAAATAAAATAAATTTGAAAGTTACAAAAGTCACTTGCTGACTGACAAACTGTCACAACTGACAAAAGTCAGTTGCTAAATAACTTTAAAAAAACTAAAAAAGCATAACTATATTTGCACACAAAAAAAAAAAACAACAACAACAAAAAAATTCCTGACTTAGCTTGTCCATTACTTCCGCTAAACATTAAAAAAAAGTTATAATTAACAAATTGCTGAAATTGGTGAAATATATATCTTTGTAACATATCCTTCTCATACAAAGTTAGCTTACTTGGCAAGAGCTCTTCGGCTCTGATCTCTTGAACATCTAATATATATATAGACATAATTAATTTTTAAAATATTCACTTTTTCAATTAAACATATAAGATTTGTCTTAAATTATAAAACTGTTGCACAGTTTTATAATTTAACACATTCAGTAAATGACAAAAAGTTTCATTTTACGTGAAAGTTTAGTAGTTAAAAGACTTAAAAGTCTATTTTAGCTTAAACACGTTTTATAAAATTATAGCTTAAACACCTTAAAGCTTCTATGTGTTTTTAAGGTTTACTGCTTTACAAAAACATCAATCAAAATAGCGGAATAAACAAAAACTGAGTTTTGGGTCCACCCTCTTAAAGTTCTAAAAATTAATTTATATATTTTTTAACTTTAGTTAAATTTTAGGGTGGTGTGCTTGATTCACGGGGTTAGGGGAGGGCAGCATATCTTGGTTGATTTCAATTAAAAGCGGCTAAAATAAATCATCGTTTTATTCACACGTGAATCAAGTACAGCGTTTTTATGTTTTTAGAAATTTTAAAAAACGTTTTAAAAAATTCTCTCCGTTTGGTTTGTTATAGTATATTATATCTTTATTTTTATGTAATGCGTATAACATCTATATGCATTTAAACTTGTTTTTCTTTGTTTTCTAGAAAACAGGATAAGATTTAAAAAAAAAATTGTGTATGCAAAAGGTTTTGAACCCAAGCGAAGCACTTCAATCGCTTTGGAATGCTATATCATCTTTTTACACTATTTAATAAACAGAAAACTTATTAAACTTTAAAAAACAACATTTAATGCTTTAAAATAAAGAGATATTGTCGCAATGAAATTTTTAAGTAAAAATAAATCGGTAGAATTTGATGTCATCTACTTCATAATAATACTGATTGATAATTAAAGAACTTAAAGTTTACATATTTAGATAATTGAATAGACTTTCGTTCACATTGTTAAAAAACAAATCATAACGGATTGTGGTTCCGAAAAAAAAGGTTAATACACTACCATCTGTAATTATTGGAAAGGTCATATTTTTTAATATCAAATATATCAAAGTTTGGCGAAAAAGTGAAAACAATGTCTACCTGAATTATATGTTATCTTCCTATTTATTAGGTTTACAAATAAAACTTCCCTGATTAGTTTATAATTTATTCAAAACCCTGATTAGCTTTTAATTTATTTGCATATTAATCACCCTTAACAACAATAACCACCATAAATATATTCTTAGCATTCTACTTAACGACTTATCTAATTAGTCTATTTTGTCACTAAGTTTTTTCAAAAAAAAAAATACACATGTATTAACTGTATATCAATTTATTTATCTATTTAATTTAATATATATATAATATATAATTTAATATATATAATTTAATCTAATTAATATAATTGAAATACTACTAATCAATTTACTGATATTTTTTCTATAGCATTGTTAAAAATGGTTATATTCTGAAAGGTAAAGAAATTTATTGAAAAGAAAGTTGCACAAAAGAAAAAAAAAAACTAAATAAAAGTTACTTGTTTCAAAAAACGTTTTACGAAGAGTTTTTCCAAACAATTTTATTTTTTATTGCGTTTTTTTTTTTAATTACGTCATAAGCATATTAAGGCGTTTTGAAAAACAGTTGCTGTATATATTTATAGTAAAAAAGTTAATGTAGCAAAATAAACTTTTAATTGCCAAAAGAAAGTTTTAAAGTTTTATCTAGCTACAGGCTTTTTTTTTTTTTTTTGCCTCCACAGCAGCATCTTCTGAAGTAGCAGGGCTGTCTTGTTAAGTTTTTTCTTTATTAAGTTTCAGACAACTTTTTTTTCAGACCATCCGCAGCTTATTAGGACTAATTACATGAGCACATTAATAACATAAGTGTCTCAATTATCATAGATACGCAACATATTTTTTCTCCTAGTGATGTTTTTTTTTTTTTTTTTAATGTTTTATGAAGTTTTAGCTTTCTTAAAATCTTTTCTTTTGTGAGTGCATAACATCGTTACATATGTTTGTATATAATCTTTATAAAACTTCGAAAGTATTTTGTATTTTAAAATAATTAAAAAAATTAAAAAAAATAGCCGCCATTGGTAGGAGTAGAACCTCTAGCTCCTTGTTCAGAAGTTCGCCGCCTTATCCACTCGAGCTACACCGGCATATCATTATGTGTAGAAATTTATAATAATGTAGTAATTTTTTTAAGGAAAAAATTGTTAGATCAAAATTAAGGAGAGGTTGACACAATGTAATTTTCAAGTAAAAATCAAACTGTAAAACATAATAAATGTTTCAGTATGTTTTAACATTTGCTTTAACCTTACTTAGTTTAAAGTTTACGTACGTTAGATATTCGTTCACGTATTCTTATAGTGCTGCGACTCTTTCTTGCCAATACCTCGGTTGCAATGGCTGCCAAGGGTTTCGTGTCAAATACGCTCCAAGGGACACTACTATTAAGTTTGGCAATATTATATAGAAGATATATAATATATATATATATATATATATATATAATATATATATATTATATGTATATATATATATATATATATATATATATATATATATATATATATATATATATATATATATATATATAATATATATATATATGTATATATATATATAAATAAATATATATATACATATATATATATATATATATATATATATATATATATATATATATATATATATATATATATATATATATATATATATATATATATATATGTATATGTATATATATGTATATATATATATATATATATATATATATATATATTATTATTATTATTATTATTATTATTATTATTATTATTATTATTATTATTATTATTTTATAAACATCAATAAATACGATTTTCTCTCAATACTAAATTTACTTTTTATTTTTTATTTTTTTAAATAAATTTTCGCTGGATTGTTGTGACCAGCGTCTTTAGCTTAAAAGATTTTGTTTGTTTTTGTTTATATGTTATTATTATGTTTTGTTTATATCTTTTAAGCCGAAGACGCTGGTCACAACAATCCAGTGTCCAACAATACTATTTTAATCTTGATACTTAAGTATAGCAATATTTTTCCTATTCTTCTCGTGATGCAATATGTGTTAAATTAATTACAACCACTTCTTCTTGTAATTCAATTCGTAATGTTGAATAAAGGAATTTTATTACTCTTACCACTTCTTTTCGTGATACTATCTGTTTCAAAATAAATTACCAACACTTATTCTCCTGATTCACTCTGTAAATGTTGAATTTAAAGTACTTTTTCTACTTCTTCTCTTTTTATAAATTAAAATTTTTATTTTGAACTCTTATTTGTTTTTGTAAAAAAATTAATAACATAAGGATGCCTGTTTTTGTAAAAAAGATGCTATTATTTACATTTAAACACACACCTTATCCTCCATGTGGTTTATCCTTCTCCGAAAAACTGCCTTATATAGAGGCTACATACCTAGGACTACAAAAACTCAGCTCATTAAATAGCATCATAACCCCTTTGCAGACCAAAGGTAAGTGATTTTTAAAAGAATGAAGGATGTTAGAGAGAAAGTTAGAAAAAGTCCAGTTAGAAAGTTGTGATAGAGACAGAAGACAGTATTACACTAGGTGTTAGAATGTGGGATTTATGTTCACTTGAACGGAAGCCATGTTATGGATAAAGTAATATATATATATATATATATATATATATATATATATATATATATATATATATATATATATATATATATATATATATATATATATATATATATATATATATATATATATATATATATATATATATATATATATATATATATATATCAGGCTTTCCCAGGAAAGGCGTGCGGTCGCACGCCTTGTTTGTCCACGCATATAAGAAATTTTTCAGAAAACGTGACCGCGGCATTATTTCGTGGAAAGCGGAAATTATCCACAGAGAATAAAAAATAATTTCAAAAAAAGGAAACGAAGTCTAAGGGTTGCTATTTTCAGCTACGAAATTTGATTCAAGTCAAGGAAAAGACGACGATAAGTCATAAAGTTTTTACGAAAATAAAGACTTGATACGTAATTTATTCACGAACTTTATTAGACAATGTATTAAAAAACTGATTCATTATTTACGCTGGACAAATTTGGTTAAACTTTTTCATTTAATTTAGTTTTTACGAAGGTTTATGTAAAGGCGATGACTTTATTCTCTAATACTTAGGCAAGAAAATAAATTCCTGTTTTAATTATTAAATATATTATTTGAGATTTTAAACATAACAAAATTTTAATGTGAAAAAAGTTCTTTCTCGGCTTATTTTAAACTGATTACTGATACTGAGTCAATGCTCGCCTTTTAATACGTTGAAATTATTCAATTGCATAATTTTGTTATTACGAAAGACGTTAAAAAAATAATTGCATTGCTTCTGTTGTCATTGTTACGAAAACTTCGGGACATTATTATATATTAACTCTCTCACAATGTCAATTAATGATTGCAAAATAAGCAACTCAATCGTTTGACAATAAAATTTTCTTTCATTTAAAAAAAACAAACAAATATATTTTACGAATAAATAGCAATCGTTTTCGTGTTTTCTTGCGTATCAATACATTCAAACATTTAAATCAATACATTTAAACATTTAAATGTATTTACGAAACATTTAAAAATTGTTTATAGTTCTATCGTAAATTTTAAAGTATTACTGACTGATAAAAGTCATTGATAAACAAGTTTTATATTAAAAGGTTTTTTTATTTTCTTTAAACATTATTCTTTTTCTTTTTGATTTGATTTTTCTTATTGATTTGATTTTTCATAGCTAAAATATTTACCACCCTAAAAAAATAAATAAATAAAATATAGGTAAACTTTTAATTTTAAAGCACAAACAGATTTCTGTTATTTACTTTAAGGTTGCTTGTATTTTTGCAGTATTTTCGTTTAGCTATGTTTTGGCGCAAATTCTTGAAACGCATAATAATAAAACGTGGTCAGTTAGTCAAAAAAATTACTTCTATGCGTGGACAAACTTTCCTGGGAAAGCCTGATATATATATATATATATATATATATATATATATATATATATATATATATATATATATATATATATATATATATCATATATATATATATATATATATATATATATATATATATATATATATATATATATATATATATATATATGTATGCATATATATATATATATATATATATATATATATATATATATATATATATATATATATATATATATATATATATATATGTATATATATATATGTATATATATATATATATAAAAGATTTTTTGATGAGATTAAATAAAAAATAACTACATAATTTTTACTACTAAAGGTTTCATGCGCTTAGCAATCATCAGGTAAAAATACATTGTTTTTTTGTTAAAAAATATACTATATAATAAAATTGTGACGTACAAAAACAATTATAAAATGTTACTTCAAACATCAAAGCACACAACTGTCACAATGGGTTGTTTTGACGGTGCAGAAGTTTGTGAACTGGTGGGCCTATATATATTAGACTCACTATCTAAAATAATAAATAAGACGTTGGGCTATAATGTGACGATGGTTTGATGATACTTCGTAAAAAAATTGGATCACAAATTGATAGCCTACAAAAAAACATAATTAAAGTTATTAAAATGATCGGTTTTAAAATACAGATCCAAACAAACCTACCCGCAGTCAACTTCTTAGATGTCTCCTTTAACTTAGAAAAAAACTCCTACCAACCTTTCAAAAAACCAAATGAATATCTATGTTACATCTACACTGATTCCAACCATTCTCCGCAAATAATACAGCAAACTCCCATCTCTATCAACGACAGATTATCACAAAATTCCTTAAATGGAAAATCATTTAATTTATCTATACTAGAATAAGAAGATGAATTTAGAAGAAATAGCTTTACTGGTTTTAGTTTAAAGTATGATCCCCCAAAAAAGAGAAAAAAAGAAAAGAAAAAGAAATATAATATGGTTCAACCCCCCGTATAGTAAAAGCATTTCTGCCAATGTCGGACATATCTTCCTAAACTTAATCGACAAACATTTTCCAACATCACACCCTCTAAGTAAACTATTCAATCGAAACACCACCAAAGTGAGTTGCAGCTGTACCAAAAATATTGAAAGAATTATAAAAAGCCACAACAAGAAAATCAGTTCAAAAAGACCAAAAGCATACCCACCCTGCAATTGCATAAATAAAGAAAACTGCTCTATCATAGGAAAATGTAGAGCCTTAAATGTTATTTATAAATGTATAGCATCCCCCCTTAACACTCCAGAAAAAGTATATATTGGCCTAGCAGAAGGTGAATGGAAGAAAAGATGGGCTAACCACAAACACTCATTCACAAACAAAAAGATGAAAAATTCAACTACCCTTTCGAAGTATATATGGCAGATAAAAGAAAACTTAAAAATAACACCCAAATTAACCTGGTCAATAATTAAACAAGTCCCCGCCTACAGCAACGTAACAAAAAATACTTGCTTTGCTTTCATGAAAAACTTTGCATAATATCATACAAAGGTACGCAAGAACTATTAAATAAAAAAAAACAAAAATAATATCTAAGTGCCGTCATGAAAACAAGTTTTTGCTTGACAAGCATGAGCCTAAAGAATAAAAAACCAAACCTAAAGAATAAAAAACCAAACCAAACGCTTGCAAATAGTAACATTTTATAGTTGTAACTTGAAAAAAAAACCTTGTTATGTATAAAGTTATACAAAATATAGATTAATTTTAATATATATATATATATATATATATATATATATATATATATATATATATATATATATAAATATATATATATATATATATATATAATATATATATATATATATATATATATATATATATATATATATATATATATATATATCACAAAACAACTAAATAATCCCAAATTCATCACTGTCAATTGCAAATTCAATATAATGTCTAAATAAAATTGAAAACAAAACTTTACTTAATACTTAAAAGTCAAGTTTTATTTACAATTTTATTTAGATATTATTGATAGTGTTGAATTTTTTAAAGTTCATACTATTTAGTGTTACGTTTTTATAGTATATAAAAGAAACACTAAACAATATGAATTATATTTACTAGTAATTTATTAGTAAATTATGTTTTATTTATTTACAATGCTATAAAATACTTTTCTTATGAATTGAATTTTCTATAGTTCATAATATGAATTATTAATATTTATAATATGAACCATATTATGGTTTAGTATTTCTTTTATATACTATAAAAACTTAACACTTAATAGTATGAACTTTAAAAAATTCAATACATAAGAAAGTATTTTTATACCATATAAACCCTATATAATATAGAAAACTAATTTTCAAAAGTACCTATCTTTAATAAATATCTATATCTATTTATAACAGCATCCTTAATCAGCACCTAAATTACAAAAAAGTTTTGTGAATGCACTATTTTAAAAACATACAGCACTTTAGTTCCCGTAAAACAAATAAAAATATATTAAAATCTCTAACTTTTAAATTAAAAAACATGTATAACTTTTCTTCGTTAAAAAGAACTATGGCGCTCTGTAAATTAGAGGCTATACTAAAGTTAACTAAAATATACGGTTAAAGTCCGTAATTTAAAGTTACGGAACCTCTCCGTATCATAAATACGGTCAAAATCCTATAAAAAGATGTGATTATTTCAAGTCTTAAAACTATCGTAATTTATTGCAAACGGATTTTTTCCGTAACAAAACAACGGAAAATGTCTGATAAATACTACGGAATTTTTTTATAGTGTAGATGAGTATTTGACTTTATGAAAACCCCGGAAAATTATTTTATTAACAATTGATCGCATTAACTGAAAACAAAAACTCTCGTAAACTTTTAAAACGGAATTTACATTATTAAACTTTTTACAAAAAGGAATTTCTAATATTCGAAAAAGTTAATTTAAATAAATTAAAAAACAAAAAAAAAAACTGTTACGAAAATTGATCTGGGGCTGTCCATTAGTTACGTTAACAAATTTTTTGAAATTTTTACCTCCCCTCCTCCCCCTTGTCAACAATTTGTCAAATTTCCAGAGACCCCGGTCCTATAAAAATTACGTCAACTCTTGATTACCCCCCCCCCCTCTCCTATACAAAAAAAGTACTCTGCAAACTCAACCTAATTTTCCGTTATTTAAGCAATGAAACTCAAAAAAAAAAAAATTGTTGACGTCAACTTTAAGTGACCTCCCCCTCCCCCGTGTCAACAATTGTCAAAAAATTTTAGACTTTCCTCCCCCTATTTTGTTAACGTAATTAATGGACAACCCCTCTCGTGAAATTTTTAACTTAAGAAAACATATTTTTTTAAATGCAAAAGTTGTCGTTTTTAAAATTTTATGTAAAAATTTTTAATTTTTATTTAACAAATTAATAACAAAAAAGCATCCTAAAACTTCTGGGAGTTATAAGTGAATTTCCGGAATTCCGGGAATTCCCGGGAAAAACTCATGTTTTAGATAAAACATTTTATTTATTACATTTGTAGATAAAACAAGATACTACTAAGGAGACGAAATGCTTCGCATCCAACTAGTTGACTCAAAATATGAAAGTATATATATAGACTTTACATATTTGGTTCGTTTTAATTAAGTAATTAGTCAAAATTTTAACGAGTTATGAAATCTATTCCACAAGTGAATGATATTAAGGTAAATATATACTTTAACTCCTAAAAATGGATTGCGTCACACTTATTTATGAATAAGTTGTTTCAATAAAATAAATACAAATAATACTAAAATATTAACATTTAAATACAAAATTGTGACTTAAATCTGACTTGACTAATCAAAAAAGTGAAATAAGATAAAAAATTTGTGTTATTGCATGTATTCAAACATAATTACTCCGTTCGTAAGTTATTCAAACTACTTCATGCCTTCAGAAAAAGTCAAATTACTTTTGCTTAGCTGTTTTGCTAGGTTTTCCATCTCTTCGATTTCATGGGAACTCCTGTCATATTTATGTTTAATTAACTTACGGTAAAAGACAATAGCAAAAATAACAAAAACTATACAGACTGGAACCATTATGATGGTGCATGCAACCGCAGCTGGACGACTAGTGCTATAAAATTTAACCCACATTAAAACAGGGATTTCAATCAAAAATAGAAGCGTACCAAGTCCGGTGCTAAATATCCAAGCCACTTCAATGTACATTTGAAGTTTCAGATGAGGAGAATCGGTCGGTAATGTTTTTGGTGCACCATTTTGTCCGGCATATGTGTTTCCGTGTAATTCATCAATAGTTTCTATATTTGGTAATATACATACTGATATCATAAGAGCAAATACATGAACTGAGATTAAAACTGTAGTTAAAATGCTAAATAATACCCATAATACAGGCGGTAAAACATCTTTTTCAGATATTGTTATCTCCACCATAGCAACCTATAACAATAAAAAGTATAGATCTTCTATAATATATAAAATATATCCAATATCTAAGTATATCTAAAAATAACAATTCAAAAATCGCTAAAGTAAGATTTTGCTATAAAAAGATTCTTACTCAAAACTAATTCATTCTCGACAACTACTTTCAATAAGATTGCAAGCAACCACTTTAAACAAGGTTACAAGCAACCACTTTTAAAAACATTTAAAAATTAAGTTTGGAGTTAACAGAAAACAAAAAGAGTTAGCAAGCATAAAAGCAGTTATTAAAAGTCTTATAAAACTGAAAAGTTCACTGTAAAAGCAGTTATTAAAAGTCTTATAAAACTGCAAATTGTATTAAAGCTTGAAACAAAATAAAATTTCCAAAGCACAATGTTGTTTGAGAGAAAAATTAGAACAATAAAATTTTTTTTGAGCATAAAGAAACAATTACAGTTAAAGGATGCAACTTTGCTGAATCAGTCACACAAGATTAAGTTTTGATTATTGTTGAATCAGTCACAGAGATTAGGTTTTGATTATTGTTGAATCGGCCACAGAGACTAAGCTATAATAGGACAGAGTCTTAAGCTGGGTAGTGATAGCAGGGCCAATAACATTTACAATGCAATTTAAGACCTTATCTAAAAGAAAGATGGTCTGATTAGTAGAATAATGGACCTTTGCATCAGAAAATACTTTTTTGCATCATATTATATTTGATACAACAACAAAAACTTGATACAACAACAAAATTTGATACAACAACAAAATTTGATACAACAACAAAATTTTTAATTTTTTACTGACGTCAAATACTTCTAGGTCAGCAGTTAAGGCAGTATTGCCAAATGCCAAACCTAATTCTGAGAGTTGCATATATATACACTGGTGGCTAAAAGTGTGTATCCATCAAAGATTTTTTTTTAAATATTAAAAAACAATTTTTTTAATTTTTGAAGATTTTTTATAATTTTTTTTTGGTTTTTAAGGATAACAATAATATAATTCAAAATATATGCAAAATAATATAAGTTTTTATTGTTTTATAAGGTTTTATGACAAAATGTTTAAAAATTTGTTTTTTTTGGGGTGGATACACACTTTTGGCCACCAGTGTATATATATATATATATATATATATATATATATATATATATATATATATATATATATATATATATATATATATATATATATATATATATATAATTATAATAACTATATATGCAACTAATTTTCTAGCTCACACCAATCAGAAACATTCCATACCATGACCTAATAAACCACAAATATTTAAAAGTTATTTAGTATTAGCCAAAATACAAAAAAATAAAAAATCATATATATATATATATATATATATATATATATATAATATATATATATATATATATATATATACATATATATATATATATATATATATATATATAAATGTATAAATTTTATTTAAATGCCTCAAGTCCTTACGATCTTATCACAGAGCATTTTAGATGAGCATTTAATTGGAAGTTCACGCCTCCTTCCTAACTGATGTCACAAAAGTTGCCCAAAGGTAGGGTTTGAACCACGGACTCTTTGTTTGTGAGGCTAGTTGGTTACCACTGCGCCATGACTGCCTCAATTTTAACACTGAATTACGAACACTTAAGCAGAACGAGAACTTGATATTTTGCATTGTCACATAGCTCTGAAAGGCCTACTACAGTTTCAAATCATAAACCATTACATAAAACATTACATAAATCAAAAAAAGTCAATAAATGCTGTTTTTCCAGCAATTCCATGGCATTAAGAAACTGTTCATTGGGTAGCAGTGGTACTTAAATATTTTGCATTATTGTCAATTTTAAGAAGCTTCGAGGGATCCCTTAATGACTTCCGAATGAGCTGAAACCTTTAGTGGTTTATTAGAAGAGAAGGAAAGTAACGAATTACATTTACTCACGTTACTGTAATTGAGTAGTTATTTAGTGAATTTCTACTTTTAAAGTATTTTTTTAAATATGTACTTTTACCTTTACTTAAGTATTTTTTTTCTAAAGTATTGAATTTTGCTCACTTTATTAAAAATGACACTTTTAAATTGTTTAGAAAAAAATGTTCAGCGCGCTTGTAACAACTTTTAACTGCTTTAGCTTGGTTTCTTTTCACTTTTTACGACCATAAAAAAAATTTCTGTGCAAAAAAAAATCTTATACAGAAAAGAATAGACTACGTAATTTTTGTTTCTTTATTTGGCAGCTTTGTTATCTGAAAAAGTAATGTAGTAACTTTCACTCTGACTACATTTTTAATAAGCTACTTTTTACTTTTACTTGAGTAAACTTTTCGAGCGGTAACTTTTACTTGTACTTGAGTAAAATTTCACTCAAGTAACAGGAATTTTACTTGAGTACAATTTTTTTTTACTTTTTCCACCTCTGTTTATTAGGTCATGATATGTTTCTGATTGGTGGGAACTAGAAAATTAGTAAGTGGATTTTTTTTGGGACATTTATATTTGGAATATATATATATATATATATATATATATATATATTAGGGTGATTCAGATTGAAATAGAAAAAAAAAATGTCACAAAAAACATTCTCCTCAAGGTTGCCTGTGTTCCTTTATCACCTAGGATCATGTGTACCAAAAATTAGACTAAAAGAAGCAATTTTAGGGGTTGCCATGTTTTATAAGATGAATTAACCATTGGTAAAATTTTGTGATTTTCTCAAATTTCGCAAATTTGTTTTTTATTTTGTAATATGGCAACCACTAGATCTTCTGCTGAGGTGTGGCTTGTTGGTAAACCTACACAAACTCTGTCGACTGCCAGACTTCCTTCAAGAGGGGATGTTCTTCGGAGGTTGCTCTTCCATCATATAGAAGAGAAACAAGAAGTGAAAAAAAGTATTCGGGCAACAATTGAAGCAGTTCTTGTTATATGGGAGAGAGGAAAAATTCCAACTCAAAGAATTGACAATGCGGAAAGAAAGTTAAAAAAACTTTATGACGAATATCTGCTGCTGAAAAAACACCGAGGATCAAAATTGGACAGCTGTCAAATGAAAGAAGGAATTTTCCACGCTGACCTTGAAGAACTTTTTGATATTTCAACCAAGAATGCATCAGAAGTTATGAAAAACGATGAAGATAAAGCATTTTTACGTCAGCAGCAAGAAGATCCATTAAGTTGTAGTATGGCAGGAATTGATCGGAATTTAACAGCTAGGGAGGCACGGAAACGAGTCCGAGAAACTAAAATGGAATTGAGGCGTCAAAGAAGTCAAGTGGAACTGATGGAAAAAACAGAACTCATTTCTTCTTCATCAGCAGTTGACATTGTGAGTGAAAGTAGCTCTAGTTCCTCGGATGATGATGTATATCAGACTCCTTCCGCTTCCAGCACACTGAGCACAAGTGGTTCAACGAAAAAGAAGATGAAAGTTCTAACAAATAATGTTGTATCATCTCTTGATCGTGTTAATATTTCTGATCGCCGTGCACTCTTCGTGGTTGGAACAGTGTCTCAGACTCTTGGTCACTCGGTAATAGATTTATGATTGTCGTACAGCACAATCCGCAGAAAAAGGCGATCTGTTCGTGAAGCGGTGACTACAGCTGACAAGGTTGATTTCTCTCCTGATGATCCACTTCTTCTGCATTGGGATGGAAAGCTCTTACCTGATATCACTGGTGGTCAAAAAAAAGTGGATAGAATTGCCATCCTTGTGACTGGTGGTGGGGTGGAAAAATTGCTGGGCGTTCCAAAGATTGATCTAGGTACAGGTGAGCAACAGGCTGATGCTTGCATGAAGGCTCTTAAAGACTGGAAATTGAAAGAACTTGTTCGGGGACTGGTTTTTGACACTACTTCATCTAACACTGGGTTGAACATTGGTGCCTGCACAATAATGGAGCAGAATCTTGACCGTAATCTTATATGGATAGCATGCAGGCACCATATGTTTGAAGTCATGCTTTCCACCATTTTCACGACTGCATTTAAAACCAGTGGAGGACCTGAAGTTGGAATTTTTAACCGTTTCCAGAAACAATGGCCAGCAATCAACAAGGAGGTGTTCACTATAGGGAATAAAGAATTTTACAACTGCGATTTTTTTCTTAAACTCCGTGAAGAAATGGTAGTATATTATAGTGAAGCAATTAAAGGTCAACAACCCAGGGAAGATTACTTAGAACTCTTGAATTTGTGCCTTATTTTTCTTGGAGGATCAACTACAACATCGGAGTTCAAAGTGAAGTTTCGGGCTCCAGGTGCAACACACAATGTACGTTGGATGGCAAAAGCTATATATTGTATAAAGATATATTTGTTTCAGGATCAATTTGTTATTACTGCAAAAGAAAAGAAAGGAATAACAGATATAAGTCTTTTTGTGGCATTTGTATACGGACAGTTTTGGAATGAAGCTCTGTTAGCTGAACGAGCACCATTCAATGATGTCAAGCTTCTTCAACGGATTCAAGAATATCCAAATCGTACAATTGCAATTAATGCAGTAAAAGCTTTTCATCGCCACCTCTGGTATTTTTCTGAACATCTAATAGGATTAGCTTTCTTCGATTCCCATGTCGACAACAACACCAAGAGAGACATGGCAAACAACCTGAAACAACAGCCAAGGCAGAAATCTCTCAAAAGACTTGATGCTGCCACATTCGATTGTCACAGCCCATTGCCTTCCTTCGTCACACAACGCACCACAGAACTTTTCGATCTAATTTTGAAAAATGGAAAAGAAAAAGCTGAATTATTTTTAATGAAAGAATCTTCAGAGTGGGAAATGGATTCAACATATCTTGAAATGAAGCATAAGGTTGGTCAAATGAAAGTCGTCAACGATTGCGCGGAACGAGGCATAGCACTTATAACATCCTTTAACTCAAGCGTTACGAAAGATGAAAACCAAAAGCAGTTTCTTCTTAGATTGGTTGATCTTCACCGGAAGGAATTTCCAGTTGCATCAAAGTCTACCCTGATGAAGATGACTGTTGAATGATGAAGATGATTGATTTATTATTGCCTAGTGCAATTACATAGTAGTACTATAGTATTGATTTTTTTAACATTGAACATCCACAATCCACCACATAATAATAAGAAATTGATAATAAATAATTCAGTAATATAGTATAAAAAATGTAAAAATAAAAAATATTTTTTTTACTTTTTGTAACCTTATACCAAAATGTGACAAAATATGGCAACCCCTAAATATCATCCGATTTGATTCAAATTTTGGCCAATAACTTCTATTGTCATATAGAACAAGGGCAAGCTTGAGGACAACTAAAGTTTAGAACCTACAAATTTTGCATCACCCTAATATATATATATATATATATATATATATATATATATATATATATATATATATATATATATATATATATATATATATATATATATATATATATATATATATATATATATAAGGGGCGTGTACAGGAAATTTTTTGGGAAAGTAAAAAAAAAAAAAAAGTCACCCTCTGCCTCCCTATTTTTTTAGAGAGGGGGAGGGGGACCGGATTTTGACCGGACTGAGTGTATTTTATAAAAATGTTTTTATTCTTTAAATGACTTGTGACATTGATAAAATGGTCACTAAAGCTCAAAATATGATACTTGCAAACTAAAAAAACTATTTTTTGAAAATATTCAGTTGTCGTAATGTATAATATATACAAATTAAAATTTTTTACAAGATTTGTAAAAACAATTTACAAGATTAATACAAGATTTTGCTGTGTAAATTTTTTTATATAACTTTATAAATAATATTTAATTATAAATAAACTTTATAAATACTTAAAGTCAAAAAACTTATTGCAATAACTGTACCATGCTAAATGTTTTTACAAAGATGTCAGCTATGAAAATAGCTGTTTACCAAAAAGCAGCTCAAACAATTGAAGTTATACTTTTATCATATTTGAATTTTATTTAAAACACAACTCATAAGTATTTATAACAAACTTAAAAAGGTTTGTTGCTTGTAATGTTTCAGTATTATTAGATTAAAGTTCATTTTTGAAATTCAGGCAGTTAAGTGAAATTCATCTTAACTTCCCACAGATCAAATTTAAGTATAAAGCCTTTGGTTTGGAAATAATAAATAAACATAATAAAGCCTTTGGTTAAACAAAAAATACTAAAACATATGATTTGGTCTTCCCAACTAGTATAACAAAACATTGAATTTCTGCAAATGTTTTTAGAAGAAACTGAATATTAGAAAGAAGAAATTAAAACACAGGTGCTTCTAACACTTCAAAATTATATCAATCAAACATTGTGTTAAACTCAGTAATCTAGATAAAACTCAGATAGTCTAGCAAGAAACAGCGATAACCAAGTTAAAATAATTTGAAATGCAATTTTTAGGCTTGTTTAAAGCATATTTGAAGGTGTTGATTAATAATATTTTTAACTATAGAGACAAAAAGTTTTAATGATTCAATAAGATTTAAACTATAAAAATTATCATTATTACTTGCTTGCAAAATTGTGTAATTAAAAAAGTTATTTTAAAAACATGTTTTGTTATACAAAGTGCATTAATAAAATCAAAATTTGTTATTAACTTCAGTAGAAGAAGCAGTAGCAGGGGCTGCACCATTATTGACATTCTTTGAGACAAAAAACCACAGGTATAAAAAACTTTCGTAAAGTATCCATGCCACAATTTCACATTTCATAACACCCAAAGAAAAATCAGTAATAGCTTTTATTAAAATACTAAGTAAACAAGTTTTTCTTTTATGTGGTTCATCATAGTTCCTATTACGATTATCATGATTCTCATGAAGGATAAACAATATGGCTAATTAAAATTTATACTTAATAAGTCAAAAATCTTCTTCTTGATTATTAAAGAAAACCAAATACTAGTTTTTATTGATGCAACTATAAACAGCTTCTACTTGTAACAACTCTGTCTTCCTTTCTTGTATCAAAAGGATATCGTGATATCAAAAGTTCTACACAATTAATATAATATTTGTTCGCCTAACTTTATAGGAAATGATGCTTTTCTTTAACATACTAACTTTTTCTTTAAAATGCTATATTAGCTTGCGAACTAAGCAACAATTTGAAGTAATCATCGGCCATGTTATATGTTTAATAAAATTAATTTAATAAAACACAAATTAAGCAGGGTGTATGCCAAAAGGGAAGTCCAAAATTTATTTTCCGCATTTGAAACCTTTTTTCTCCTTATTTATTACTTCAAATGCAAGTTATACATAAAAGTACTGTTGACATTCTTGTAATAATGAATGGTAACCCTTTTATTGAGTTTTCGTCTTTACATTCTCTTGGACTATTGTTTACAACTGACTTTTCATGGAAATATATAAATGGAATATATGCAATCAATTGATAAATTAGCATTTGCTGAGGTTGCTTCTCTTTATTGTGTTTGCCATTTTCTCTGATCTTATTCTCTAACTCTACAAATCTCTTATTCATTCCTGTATGGAATAATGTTATCCTATTTGGGCTTATTCTTCTTATGATGCTCTTTCTCTAGACAAAGTCCGAAAATCCCATCATTCTAATGTTGCATCTCTTTCTCTATTCTACAAATACATGGTTGCTGCTCAAAGCAGCTACCATCTTTAGTTCCATCAACTAAAACTCAATCTGGTTTGAATCTTTATTCAGCAAAGTCACATTCTTTTATTGTATCTGTCCTGTTACTGCATGCTCTAAAAAATTTTATTCATCTAGTTTTTTTCCCCCGCACTTCAATACTTTGGAACTCTTTCCCATATTCATATTTTTCTGGCTCATACAACCTTCAACTTTTTAAGCCTTCTGTCAACTGTTTTTTTGTTCTATAACTTTATTCTTTATTTTATAGTAACTCCCAACTTAATAATGGTTCCTTGCAGCCTTGTTGAGAGTGAATCTGAAAAATAATAAAAAACAAAAATTTTCATCAATTTTTTTGCTAAAATACAACTTTGAAATGTTTTCATTTACTGCCAAGTTTGAGATGGTTTCATTTACTGAAACAATTCAAGTATAAAAATTAGATCAGATTACCATAAAAACTCTAATCCACTTTTTATTACAAAGTTAATGAGGAGTTTTATTAAAAAGTTTTCTATATCTTCAACAAATTTTTTTTGTCTTTACTATTATTAAAGAGTATCACTAATGTTAGAAACTTTTTTCATAAAATAAGTTCAATTTAACGAAGCTGATTATTTTTCTATTAGAGCCTTATAAAATGTTTGAACTTTAGGTTCTGTTCAAGTTACCACAAACAACTGGGGTACTCAGGTTATCAGTGAAAAGGTAACAAAAGTTAGTAATTATAAAGCATAAAAAAATTTCTACAAAAATTTTAGTCTATTAAATTATAATAACTTATTTATTACACCATTTACATATTTCATGAGGCTATTAGTTTAAGGTAATTGACTTGAATGATATATCGAATGATATAAACAATTATATAAATAGTCATTTTAGTTACATATCAAATAATAATTAACTCAACTAATTGCTATATTGAGAAAAATACATTAGTAAATATTTATAATTGTTTCCATTTAATGGTCTCAGTTCTGTTAATCAACAGAGGGTATTATTTCAATAAAATAAAAAAATAAAAACATAGCAAAAAAACTATATATTTAAGTTAGACCATTGAATATTGCATTATATTTATCGCATTATATTTATTCTGGGCCTTGTATCAAATAATGTCAACTATAAAATTTAAATCTAATTAAACATACTTATTATATTATAACTAATATTATTAAATATTGTGGTTAATATTTTTAAATAACTTTTTAATTTATTAGAAACACTAGAATTTTAATAGTCAAGTTTAAATTTACATTTTAAATCTAAATTCTTTTAGATTTAAATTTTTCATATCCATAAATTTGTACCAAAGAAAGGTTATGATTAAATGCATAAACATAATTTAACATTATTTCAATTTTAACTTAACAATTTACCATAGCAAAACCAGACATTAATCCAGAGGTGCGACTTGAGGCTTTTAACTTTGCTTTGCTTAAAAGTAATTTTCTCCAAGAAATTAATTGATTATCTACATGCGCTTCTGTCACCTCATTCTCATCTTGAGCACTGAAAGGATAACTAAAATTTGGGTTACTCATCTTAGGTAACAATAACACTAATTTACCATGATATTGCTTCTATAACAATAGCAGAACAAAAACTGGTAAAACACCGCATTTACTCAAATGAATATGTTGAATAATATATCTGTAGTAGTTTTTAATGAAGTTTATAAATGTTTGTAAAATAAATCTAAACTTATTCAATTTTAATAAAACAATGGGAGTGTCAAATATAAAAATAAATATCACGTGTAGTTACCAATTAATACAATAGAAATAAAAAATTGTTCTCTTATTCCGAAGCTGATCTCTTTCCCGTCCGCAAACTTGGACATTCGGGGTAAGAATAACATGCGGCTTTATAGGAACAACCATTTTTTATAGCAATAACGTTTTATTGCAACAATCCACTTTTTCCAGAGCTCTCTATTATTAATTGGAAATTTTTGAAATGCTCTGTTGTCGTTTTTCATTGCTCTACTTGTTCAACCCGCTGCAGCACAAGAATTAACCATGATTTAAAAATTATGAATATTAAATATCGAATATTATTTGATCCAAACAACCGTGATTTACTATTTTTTAAATTTGCCCCTCATAATGGCTGATTTTTGCTTCAAAAAATACGTGGAAGTTAGACATCTAGTTATTTTAATATATCATTGATTCTGGGTACTTGATATAATCATTTTGGATAATTTGACAGAGTTTGTCTTGCATCTATATAAAATGTTTTGTTAAGTACAGAAATATGCCAGCGATCTGATTTGATTTTGTTAAAGATTTTGTATTTTTGGATGAGGTTGCCTCGTAAACGTCTAGCAAGCAGTGAGGTGAGTCCGAGTTTGAAGGATCTCGTCTCGTAGTCGAAACGCTTCATTTCGTGCAGTACTTTGGTAGCCCGATGCTGGATGTGTTCGATGACATTTATGTCTTTTTTAAGATACGGGCACCTAGTGGTTTTTTAAGGTACGGGCGCTTACTACGAACTTGAGATGTGAGCACATATAGGTAGTGTAAAGTTTTTTCCTTATTTTGCTATGTGTACTGATGAAGATATGTTTTAAGACATTATTGCCCTCAGCAGCGGCAATTTTTATGTTTTAAGTTGTTAGTAATTTGAACGCCAAGGTTATTTTTAAATTTTGTTGACTCGAGTTTTGTTCTGCAGACTTTTTTTTAGCTTTATGCTCATTTATCGAGTAAATGTGTTGCAAAACGTTTTATTTGTTGATGTGTGTATAAAACTGCATTTCTTTGTGTTGAGCTCCCACCTTCGAGTCCAGGTTACAATTATATCTATTTTTGCTTGTTATCAAGCTTTGTTTTTAGCGGTTTTGACGACGCTCAGAATTTTAGTATGTTCGGGTTTGGATAAGTTGTTGATAAAGATTATAAACAGCGTAGGACCTAGTACTAAACCTTGCGGAACAGCACTGATAACTTATTTTCCGTAGGATGAGTTATTACCAAGAAAACGCGTTGGGATCTATTTAAAAAATAAATTTAAATCTGGTTAAGAATTTTACCTTCAATTCCATAAGGTTTAAGTTTTTGCAATAGTCTTTTGTGAGGGACTTTGTCAAAAGCTTTGGTATAGTCAAGAAAAAGTGTTTCTGGATAAATTTTTTGATAAACGCTGCAGGTTTGAAAGTCCATGATCGTGAGCAGATTGTTGACGCAGGCTTTTTTATTGATGAACCCGTACGAATAATTGATAATAAGTTTGTTGGCTACATTTGCTTTATGATCTTGTCTTTACCGTTTTTTCCATTATTTTGCATTGTACCAATATGATGGAGATTAGCCTGTAATTTTCATAGTTGAGTCTGAAGAATTTTTTAAACAAATCAATATGTTGATCATCTTGGATTTTATATTTGGTTTTAAAATGCATGCCTAAACATTGGTAAGAAAGGAGGTGTGAACTTCCGAGTTAAATGCACTTTCACGGTACTCACTGATATTACCGTATGGATTTCTTGGAGCACCTTAACAAACACAAAAAAAGGGATATGTATTAGAAGGCCCAAAACTCTATATGGGAATTTATTTTCATGTTTTAAATTGGGTCATTGGAAATCACTTACGCTATACTTCTAGAATTAATAAAAATCATTTCAGAGATATTTTTCTTTTGAACAACAACAACGAAAAAAAAAACAAGTTTTTATGAGACAAGTTAGGTCTTTATTTTTAAGTAATAAAATAAAAATTAAGTAATAAAAAGTTTTCAAGAAGTATGAGTAAATCTTTTGAAAATTCCCAATATACTTTGGCAGTTTTCCTAGATTTAGAAAAAGTATTTGATACCATAGATGATGAAATTCTTATAAAAAATTATATTATTATGGAATAACTCGGTTTTTGTCCAAACAATCTTTAGATAAGTAAAATAACTGCATTCGAGCAGAACTTGTTTCAGTAAGTATATTTTATTATATGTACAAGTCTCGCTAAACTAAATTCAAAAATATAATCAATATACTTTTTTTATTGTTTCTTTTTTAAACCAATGAACCACACACCCTGAGTATTTAAAGTGTTTAGCTAAATGAAGCTTTTATTTTTGTATTTTAAGTTATGTTAAGTTTAAATATTCTCAAAATGAAAAAGAATATGAAGACTAAAAAAATGTTGACGAGTAATGCTGATAAAGAAAACGAAGATTATGAGGTATTTAAGTAAGATCCTGGTTCGTCTAAAACTCTCGAAAATTTGCAAACTATTCTAACAAAAATTTAAGCATAACCTTAAATTAGTTTCAAGAGCTTGAGTAAAATCTTTTGGGATTTAAATCAAATTTCTGGTTTCCATTGTCAGAATTCGATGGAACAGTGCATTGAATATGTGATGACTTTCAATGATATTAATCCAGCCAACATCGATTCGATGTAAGCAAATATTTTCGAATTCAAGCAACCATCGTAGTAAGAGGCGGGAGATAATGATAAATGCAATTTTGAATGACTTTTAAAAAGTATCTTAAGAAGCAACATTAATTTTATAAATGTAGATAATTTATGATTCATAGCCAAAGAGGTTTGTTAAACTTCCTTGTTCATAGCTGAAAATAAAAAAATAAAAAATAAAATTTTTCTGAACATTTTACGTTATTTCTAGTTTTTTACTTTTTTGAAAAATCTTGGTTATTCTCGGTTTCGTTCGAGACCTTAAGTCGGAAAATTTTGTCTCGTATGGACCGAGAGCCGTGACAAAATTTAAATCGAGATTGTAAAAGTATAAGCTCGGGGTAGTGTTAACAAAATTTAGATCGAATTATTTTATTAACAATAGAAACATCTCGTACATCCTAATTTTAAAAACAATTTTTATTAGGCAAAGCCACTTTTAATTGAAATGAACATTTTTATTATATATTAATAATTATATAATACTATACTATTAAAATTCTGTGTTTTATGTTTATATCAATATTTTTGTTATATTATATGTTTAAATCAATACTATTAAAATTCTGTGTTTTATGTTTAAATCAACTAAAAAACTCGTAGATATCTTTTTTACAATTCGATATCTTTTTTACAATTTATATTTCTTAAAAGAAAAAAATGAAAACAAAAACAAAAATAATTTTATTCTTCAACCAGTTTTATTTTGATAACTTTTCTATTAAATTTTTTATTTAAAGTATCTTTTTCTTAATTGAAAACATTCATTTAAATTTTTAAGTTTGTTTTTATTATTAATACTCACAAACTTTATTATGTAAATATTCACTTTGTTCTTCTTATTTTTGTTTAGTAAAGATTTATTTAATAGACATACGTGTTAATTTATTTTATTTGGCTGGTCTATTATTTCAATTATACTTTCTATGTATCTAAATTACTTATAAAAACATTTAATTCACTCAATATTAATTTTGTAAACTTTTTTAAACAGATATATGCATAATGTTTTGTAAATAAATATTATAAATATACCCGTTATATTTGCGTATATATATATATATATATATATATATATATATATATATATATATATATATATATATATATATATATATATATATATGTATATATATATATATATATATATATATATATATATATATATATATATATATATATATATATATATATATATAGCGTGGAAAATTAGAAATCAAAAGGCAAGCGGTCAATTTGACCGGCTAACACATAGAATTGACGGTCAATTGTTTTTTTTTTTTGGACGGTCAACATTTTTTTTTGCTTTGTTTAAATTATGATTTTTGTTTCTTGTATAGTATTTTATACGGCATTTTCTTTATTTTCTTTGTTTAAATTTTGATTAGTAGTAGTTCTTCATGACTGAACTTTATAAATACAAAAATAACTTAATGTTTGAAAATTAACGAATTAGAAATCCTTTTAAAGTAATAATTTTAAATAAAGTCAATGCAAATTTTTAAATGGAAAATCGCAAATAACTAAAGTTCAAATTACCTGCTAACGTTAATGGTTTAAAATAAAGCGCGGAGATGTTCATTTTATTTAAAAAAAAATTTATTTAAATAATTTATAAAAATAAAATAAAATAAATTAAAATTTTATAAAAATAAAAATTTAAATAAAAATAAAAAGTCATTTTATTTAAATAAAAATGAAATATTTTATTTTATAAAGGAAGTTTGATAACATCCAGGTAATTTAATAATTTTTACTAATTGCACAGTGCTTTAAGTCGCCCTATTTAAAAAAAATTAAATTTAGAAAATTTTATATAATAAAAATAAATTACATTTAATATGGATTTTTTTAAACATTAAATTTAAAAATAACTAAAACCTTCTAAAAAATTTTAATTTATTATCATCGTTATTTCTATTTTTATTAAAGTCGAAAAGAATAGGAAGAGAAACAAAACATTCTGAAATAGTTTTTTTGTTTTCCTAACGTCAAATAAAAACAGGGAGCTTTAGGTTCATTCAAAAATTACTAAATACGTTTGATGTTTAAAATTATTTTTACGTTTTTAAGTTATATGTTTATAAGTTCATTCAAAAATTACTAACTTGCGATTACTAAATTGTTATAAGTATTGAAATTTTTACTTTTTTTCGTGAGCAAAATGTTTTTAATGATTAATCATTAAAAACATTTTGCTTACAAACAAAATTGAAAATTTTTACTTTTTTTCGTGAGCAAAATGTTTTTAATGATTAATCATCGTGAGCAAAATGTTTTTAATGATTAATCATTAAAAACATTTTGCTCACGAAAAAAAGTAAAAATTTTCAATTTTGTTTG